TTGGGTGTAGAATTGGAGATTTTAGAGTGACAGACTAAAAATCCCCAATTTGGTCATAATGTTTAAGAACTAAAGAAATAGTTAGCCTTCAAGGGAAGGGAAGTGGGAGCCAGTATCCTCCTAGCCTAGCTACCGATTTAGAGACTAAACCTAGGATTAGCCAATGATTTTCTATAACACTGTATCAGGGTTGAAAATTAAAACAGCTCCTATTTGGCACAATACATATTCTAACTAATTATCTCATCTCATTTTACCAAAATCTCATTGTAGTGGGAAAGAAATCTTCATCACAAAAACATAGTTTAATATTTTAATAGTTTAATAGTTCACTGAAATTAGCCAATGACTTTCTATGCACTGTATCAGGGTAGAAAATTAAAATTACTTCTATTTGGCACAATACATATTATGAACATTTATCTCATTTCATTTTACCATAGTCTCATTGTAGTGGGAAGGATGCTTTTTCACATAAGAATCTTCGTTACATAAATATAGTTAATAGATTAGTATTTACTGTTTTAAACTTTGCATTTTTGATTTGATAATAGTTTAGAAATTTAATTTTATTTACATCTCAACAATTGAAATTAGTGATTGTGATTTCAATTATCTTTCTATGAAATTCCTAGCAAATTTATCATTTCCAATTTAAACCTTCCCCGTGGGATCAATATTTGGGGCTTAAATAGAAAGTCCATTATTACTTGGTAACGATACGTATACTTGCGTAGAATCCAAATATTAATTGATTATACTTGATTAAATTTTGCACAATCTATCGCAACAAAAAAATCAGATCAAGATTTTGGTACCGTTGCCGGGGAAGGTAACAGTTAAATTAAATAGTTTTGATAAATTAGGAAAATTGGAGATAATATATATACCATAAAAAAATTAAATAATCAAAAATCCAAAAAGAAATATTTTTATTATAGTGTTTATTTTACTTTGCTTACTTTATTATTTATGCAAAATATTGGATCTGAAGGTTTAATAACACTTACGATTCAGAATTAGAATGTCCTATTAGAAAATTTGAAAACAGCAAAAAGAAATTAAAAATTTAAACGAAATGGCTAATAACTTAGATAATCAAATAAATAAAAATCAACAAAGAGCTTTAAAAGATTATGTTAATCCAACAGCAGATGAACTTCACTTAACTATTAAAAATCCTGATGTTGTTGCTAATTCATTTGAGCTTAAACCTGCGATTATCCAAATGGTACAAAATAATCAGATTGGAGGAACACCTACTAAAGATTCTAACTCACATCTTGCTAGTTTTCTTGAAATAAGTGCTACTTTTAAATATGACAGAGTGTCTAATGATGTTGTTAGGCTTAGACTTTTTCATTTTAATTAAGGGATAAAGCCAAAGCTTCATTAAATTCATTAGCAATTGGATCTATCAAAACTTAGGGAGAACTATCACAAAAATTCTTGGCTAAATATTTTCCACCCTCGAAAACTACTAAGCTTAGAAATAATATAACATCTTTTTGTCAGTTTTAAGGGTAATCAATATTGAAGCTTGAGAAAGATTTAAAGATCTTCTTAAAAAATGTCCACACCATGCTTTACCAGATTGGTTAATAATTCAAACATTTTACAATGAATTAGTAGAATCACTTAGATCTATTATAGATGCTGCTACTGGTGGATCACTAATGTCAAAACCTTTTGATGAAGCATACTCTTTAGTAGAAGAAATGGCTAATAACAATTTTCAATGGCCCTCTGAAAGGGTAAATCCTAAGAGAGTAGCTAGTATTCATGACTCTGATGAAATGTATATTTTAGCATCTCAAATTGCTGCTATTTCAAAAAAGATTAATCAAATTGGAGTGAACTGTTTTAAAATACCCCCAGTATTATAGTAAAATTCGCTAGGACAGATAATTGATACTTAATCATCTTATGAAACTTTGAATGCTATAAATAATCAAAATAACAATCCCTATTCTAATTATTATAACCTTGGATGGAAAAATCACCCTAGTTAACAGGTTTAAGTTCAAATGAATTAACCACTACAACATGTTTTCGAATACTACAATGAAGTTCATCCACCGTAGGGTTTGCATAATCTCTTAAAGGTTTAAACTCATGATTAATTTCAACATTTTGATGATTTTGGTTTGTCATTTCTTGAAATTTTTGTTTTTTTCTGTATTTTTGATTTTTTAAAATTTTCTAATAAGTCTTTCTAATTCAGAATCGTAGGACACTGAAATGTAGAACCTGAATTACACATACATTACTACGAAACATCATAAGCTATAAAATCACACAAATAAGAACTTTATATAAAAACAACACTACAATAATTATATAATAAATCTAAAAGTTTAAATAAAACTTTTTTAAAAAAAAAATTTCTTTCTAAAAATTTCTTCAAAAAATTTATATTTGTCCCCGACAACGGCGCAAAAAACTTGATCCCAATTTTATATGACAATATGATGTATGCAGTTATAATCTTAATTTTTCCTTACTTATAATTCTTATTTTACAACGGTGTCAAAAACTTATTCACCAGCAACAATTAGACAAAAATTTAACTTCGAAGCAAATACAAATACAATTATTATATTTAAAAATAACATATAATAACAGATTACACAAGTATACGTATCATTATTAAGTAATATAAAACCTTTTTATTTAACCCCGAATATCAAACCCACAGCGACAAAGATAAAATGCAACTAAAATCAGAAGAAATTAGATAACAAATTCTGCTTAGTAAAATATTCTTACTCAAACTTTAGATGTTATAATAAGAATAAAAATTTGATTCTTTTTGTAATTTTTGCTAAATGAAAGTAAAGTAAATAACTAACTAAACTTAACTAGATATTTGTAAAATGAAGACAATATAAGTAAAATATATTTTTCGTTATCATGAATCTGTAATAAGTATAAGAATTATGTTATAGAAGTATTCAAATTATGTTGTGCCAAATATGAGCAATAATATTCTTTACCCTTACTAGAGATGCTATAAATAACATTGACCAATTTAAAGTTTGAATAGTCTTGAAGAAGGGTTAGGTAGGGAAGATACTAGCTCTCACTCAAGAGTTCCCTTTTCTCCCTCCACCTGCGGGCTAACATATTGTATCAAAACCTAAAACTATAAACCAAATTGAGGGCTTTATCCTGTCACTCTAAAGTCCTCTAAGTCTACACCTTTCAAGGTTTATTCCCTATTTATTTGCACTCAATCATATGAATTACATTTTCATCCATACAATCTCGTGTGATTCTTATCATTAGTTGACTTAGACAATACCATCTCAGATCTTACATGTTCTCACAACAGATATTAACATCTTAAATGGCTAAATCAAGTATAAGGTTTAAAATCATCACAACTTATTCTAACAGTAAAGATTAATACTTCACACAACTTTCATCTAATACTTAATATCTTATCATTCTAAAGAAAAACATAAATAAAACTATTCAGAATTCATGGAGAAAACACAACCACACTTAAGTTTAAAAGTAGAAATTATGCAAATAAATAAGAAGCCTAAATTAAGACCAAATATAGTCACAAAGATAAAAACTTATCTCAAATCATTTCCACCAAACTCTTGAAATTTTTTTGAATCTCGTCATTCCCTTACAATAAAAACTAGAACTCAAAATAAAAAGAAAAGGGGGCGGTGACATATGTAGAAGAGTCTCTCAAAAAGAAGGAAAGAGAGAGAGAGAGAGAGAGTTCATCAATTCAAGTCTTCTTTTATAATTTTTCAAAAGGTGTCTTGGTGTCTCTTTAAAATGTGTCCAAATTCAATGAATCTTTCAAGAGTTGCCTCTTTTCAAAAGCTAATTGAGTGTATTTTCGTGTCCATTAACTATTTCTCAAGTTTTCATCAAGGGTTGCTTCAAAAACTAAAAAATTCATCCAAACTCATTGAATCATTGAATAACAACTTCTGACGCTTAAGCGCGAGGTACTTGGCGCTTAGACACGACCTTCTCGGTTTTACTGACGCGTAAGTGCCAGTTTTGGGCGCTTAGGTGTTACAGTTCTTTTGCACACATTCTTCATTTTTATTCCAAATTTGATTCTTTTTCACTCATTTCACAATTTTTCATCCATTTGATTGTACCTGAAAAAAAACACACAAATACCTTCCATTAAAGCATAATATCTAAAAAATAGGTATAAACATATGTACATAAATACTATATATTTTAGGTGTATCAGATCGCTTGCAGGATAAGCTTCCATATTGAGTTGGTGAACTTGTCCTTCTCTCTGGTGAGCTTTTCTGTGGGATAAGTATCCGTCTTGAGTTGGCTTTCCCCTGGTTAATAATTCAGACATCTTCCTGGTGAGCTTTTGGGTGAGCTGCTTGGTTGTTACCGGTCAACCATCCTCACATCGATTTTTGACATAGTTACCTTGGTTTGATAGGCATGATGGGTCCTATGATCTCCTTGTAGAGGATCTTCCTCCATAACACATTCTTATTTTGAACCGTTGAATTAATGTAAGATCTGCATTGACACATTTTTTATATACAACGTGAAAACCAAGAAGATATAAAGACTCATAAATGATTAATGAAGAAAAAATAGAAAATAAATTTTAATTGCAAAGCTATCAATGAAAATGTAGCAAAAAGTATGAGAGAAGAAGCGAGAATAAGTGTCGAAAGGAGTGATTCAAAGTAGGGTGGAAGGAAGAAGAGAGAGTTAGTAGATAGGTTTATGACAATTTTAGGTTTCATTTCATGTACTTTTGAAATGTTAAATCGTAGGTCATGACCTTCTTTCATATTCAAAGAAGCCTTGACTATTATATTAAAGATTCGCTAATAACTCAAACATTATTTAATAAGTTAAACAAATCAAAATAAAGTGAATTATGCATAAGAAATGCCTTTTGATAAAAAATATAGAAAAATAAGAAAAGACAAACATTAATTCCTAAATCTTTCCTCCCTTCACATAAATATTGAATCGATCACAGGCTGCAAATCCGCAGGCTTTCCCTTACTACCACCGTAGTTCTACAGCAGAAAAAAATTTGCAAGTTTCAAGAACCATTGACGATTAAGACAATCGCTACAGTTCTTGTTAGCTTATTTTCAGGCTTTTGTAAACTGAAGTTCAGTCGATAAAAGATCAAGCTTTGGCATCATAATTCCTTCCATTCTCAATGATTCATCAAATAAAAATAAATAACTAAATATGACCAAACACAGTTTAAATTTTTTGTAAAATCTTCCCATATAAATCCGAAGACTGCAGCTGCAGCAGCCCAGGTTGCTGATTTTGAAAGCAAAGATTCAAGCTTTCCATGCCAAAATGGCTTTCATCCTTGACTTCCCCAGCTTGTAACGGCTGGATTTGGCAGCGGGGCAGCGAAGAAACTTGGAGATTTCCATGAAGGCATTCAGACCACTTCCTCTCGCTATTTTCACCTGGTAGATGATATTTGTTTCCTTTATCTGTCGTCAATTCTGGGCCTGAGCACAAACTACCATTTAAAAAAGAACTGTATTTGCAGCTACTGCTATTTGTGTTACCAGTCTCCCGAAATGGGAGATCAAGCAAGTTCTTCAATTCCTTATAATTGTAGAGATTAGAGCTTGAAGTAGAAAGTGGGGCTGAAGTTATGGAGCTGTAACTCAGCTCTGGATTCATGCCAAATCCTATGTTACTGTTGCTAAACCAGAAAAAAGGATTTGAACTCACCGGAAGGGTAGTGGTCGAAATGCTACAACTTAGCTTCGATGAAGAACAGTATCCTTCGGAATTTGTCGTCGAATCCTTTATAACTGTTTGGTTATTGATTCTAGTTCCTGAAGAAATCTTATCTTGTGTGCCCTCAATCTCGGAAAGGGCCTTGTGAGTATTTGGGTCGATTCCTTTCTGCCTTAGTTTTTTCTTAATGCACGAGTTCCACTGGTTCTTGATTTCATTGTCTGTTCTTCCTGGCAACTGTGCTGCAATCTGAGACCACCTGTTCGGAGAAAACATGGACACAGATTGTAATTCGGTTCATGAACGAAAGGAAAAGGAAACAATAAACAATCAGTTATGGAGCTGAGAGGACCTATTGCCAAGCATTGCATGTATCTCTATGATAAAATCTTCTTCCTCCTGTGAGAAGGTGCCTCTCTTGAGATCTGGTCTCAAGTAGTTTATCCATCTCAGCCTGCAGCTTTTACCACATCTCTGTAGACCTGAATTGAGTTCCTGTTACTGTCAGAGATGGCTTAAGATGTTCTCAAATATTTAATATATTGGTATGCTTGTTACCTGCCAGCTTGGGGACTGAGCTCCAGCTGGTATGTCCATACTTAGTTATGTGTTTTAGCAATTTCTCATCTTCCTCAGGAGACCACAAGCCCTTCCTCTGCTTCTGGTTGTGGAAGCAGGATTGCTTGCTCATTTCGAGCTAGCAATGGAGGTCCTTTAAGCAAATTTTGTTTGAGATGAAGGAGAATGTGGAGGAATAGGATATTGAAAAGGAAGCAAGGGGAGCTAAAAAGGAGAAGGCAGGGCCAAAATCAATTCTGTAATTTGAGCATAATTTTACATTTTTTCTTTTCAAATCCTCCCGGGCAATTCCCCGCATTTGGTTTATACTTCATCCAGCTGCAAGTAAGAAAATGAAGGATAAAATTTGAAAAGATAAAACTCGGTTGAATCATCAATAACATTCATTATTGATGATTCATAACAGTAAGAATATCCTTAAAGAAGTCCATTATAGCCACAGAAAGACCACTGGTTTGAAAGCGAAAGTGAGGCATTAATGTTGCAGCAATAAATAAAATATCTTCCATGAGCTCCAGCGTCTTTATCAGTTGAAATGATGCCCTATGATTACTGTCTGCATTTGGGGAAATTATTTCATAGGAGTACGTACGACGCAGTTCAACGTGTGAATTATAGTAATATACTGTTATATGTGTTATATTGAGTCTATTTAAAAAAATTAAAGTGAAACTGCGGAGACTATTTGAGTGAAACTACAGAGGTTATTTATGAGGGTTATTAAGGGTCATTGAGGGCAATAACTATAATAACCCCACAATAATCCCTCAATAACCCTACAATAACCTGCATAGTTGCAATCTAATGACCACCCAATAATCTGTTGTGAAAAATGACGGCAATAAACAAAAAATCAGATGGAGAAAAATCGCAAAATAGAAAACACAATGGAACACACAGATTTACGTGGTTCGGCAAATTGTCTGCGTCCACAGAATTGCAGATGATTTTATTACTTTGAGGATTACACTGTCGAATACGTTGACTTACAAGAAAGAACTCTCTCTCCTCTCTCTCTCTCTCTCTATACCCGAGATTACACCTCAAGAAGAGAACAAAAGAATTCCAAGGCAGAGCCAAACCTGCTACAAAAAATTATTCCATGCGGATCGGCGTTCGCACGCAGCTTGCGTGCGGACGCCGATC